TTATCTGTCCGGAGCCGATTGTCACAAAGCGCTCCCCACGCATCACCAGCTTGCCCTGGCAGCACCTCTCGGAGCAAACCCGGCCTGCTGTGACCCCTGTCCGGCCAGCCTGGCCTGCAGGGACAAAGAGCTGTGTCCTGCACAGCCGCTGCTGCCAGCCCAGCCCCTCTGGCAGCGTGCAGGACGGGCTGTGGGGTGATTGCAGGGTGGTTTTTAGCCGATTTTGGGGTACACCTGTGTGGGACGGCACTGGGCACCCCCTGGTAGGATTCCTTCCAGCAAAACCTGTCCTGGAAGCCCGTGCCCCTCCTCCCCAGCTGCTCCCAGCCCCAAGGCTGGCCCTGTGTGGATGCTGAGGTGGGAAGGACCTCACCCGGCACTGTGCCCCCAGTGCCTCAGTTTCCCCAGCGGGTGCCACATGGAGTGGTGGGAGGATAAGCGCCCTGAAGGTGGCCAGGGGCTTGTGCCTCAGTAAGATGCTGCAAACCCCTGGACAAACAGGTGCCAGCAGCTCAGTGTACCCAAAAATGCCATCCTGCTTGAGCCCTGGGGTCGTGCACCGCATTGGTGACTGTGAACAGACAGTGACACGGAAACGGGGATCAGCTTTAACTTCCAGCCGAAACCATCCTGTGGTTCTGTTCTCTGCGAAGGGCTCCGCGTCCCTCTGAGCAGAAGGATGCTCGGCTTCCCGAGGAAAAGCTCCTTCCCGGCAAGAAGCTGGGATCTGGTTCCCTCCTTCCCGGCAAGAAGCTGGGATCTGGTTCCCTCTAGTGTCGCCGCTCTCCGCTGCTGAGCGGGGACCGGGCAGCGAGGACAGGGCGAGGGGGCTTCACCGAGGGGCTGGGAGGGGAGTGGGGACCCTGTCCTCGCCAGCTCCAGAGGCGTTGCACAGTTCCAGCAAGCTCCAGGGGCCAACCAGGCTGCCCAGGACAGCCGTGGAGGGATTTAAAGCAGGGATTTAAAAGACAGATGTGTACAGATGTGACCTCTGGGGACGTGGTTTAGTGCTGGCAGCGTTGGTTAATGGACTTGGATGGTTTTAGAGGGGTTTTCCAACCTCTGTGATTCCAAGGCACAGTCCTGACACAGATGGACTGGGTTTGTGGGGACCCTCCTTTGCTTCCAGCCACGTCCCACTGTGAATCCCAGTGTGAATCCCAGTGTGAATCCCAGTGTGAATCCCAGTGTGAATCCCACTCTAAATCCCACTGTGAATCCCACTGTGAATCCCACTGAGAATCCCACTGTGAATCCCACTGTGAATCCCACTGTGAATCCCACTGAGAATCCCACTGTAAATCCCACTGTGTATCCCACTGTGTATCCCACTGTGAATCCCACTGTGAATCCCACTGAGAATCCCACTGTGAATCCCACTGTGAATCCCACTGTGAATCCCACTGAGAATCCCACTGTGAATCCCACTGTAAATCCCACTGTGAATCCCACTGTGAATCCCACTGTAAATCCTGCTGTGAATCCCACTGTGAATCCCACTGTGTATCCCACTGTGAATCCCACTGTGAATCCCACTGTGAATCCCACTGTAACCCCCCCGGGAGGACCCAGCCTGTCCATCCTGGGCTGCACCCCGCAGCATCGCTGCCTTGAGCAGGTACTCCTGATCACCTCTCTGGGGCAGGTGTGGCAGGGAAAAGGGGCTGGGGTGCCAATTCCTGGGGCTGGGGGGTGATTCCAGCCCGGGCAGAGGTGCTGCTGCATTTCGGGAGCAGAGCAGAGCAGAGCAGAGGGAGGCTGAGGCACATCGCTGCTCCTCACCAGCCTGGCCCATCTCTTCTCTCTCCAGTGCTCCTCTCTGGCTCCCTCAGTCACCATTTGCTGCTCTCCTCTTTAAAATAACAAGGAGACATTTTGCATCCGTGTTTCCTCACGGGCGAAATGCGGCCCTGGCACCACGGGGCTGGGCTGGCAGCTCCTCTCTGGCACCACGGAGCTGGGCTGGCAGCTCCTCCCTGGCACCACGGAGCTGGGCTGGCAGCTCCTCCCTGGCTGCTGCTGCTCTGGGTCCAGCCCCGCTGCCTCACCTCCTGCCTTCAGTCAGGGATGAAGCACGGGCACAGACCAAGCCACAGCCAGCCAGAGCCCCTCTCCCTCCTACCTGGCCACCCAGAGAAGCAAACAGGGAATAACCAGCGCCAAGGGGAAGCTGTTTGGATCTGGAGGCCTTCCCAGAGGAAAAGAGCACTCCGGTTGTCCACTGTATTATTTACCCAATCCCCTTTGTGCCGCAGGAAAGATTTACTCTGAGAAGATTAATGGCTCAAGGGGCTGTGAGAGAAATCCTCCGAGATTGCCTGCTTCAGGGGAGGAGGAAACACCTCCTGGGCAAGGCCAGACAGCACAGGGAGCACAGGGAAAGGGCTGAGAGGGTGGCCTTGTCCATGGGGGACACTCTGATGGGACAGTGACTCACCCTGGGGACAGCGGGACCCTCTATCGGGCCGGTGGCAGGAGGAAGGAGACACGATGGCCTTTCCCCGGGGTGCCCCCAGCTTTCCTGTGCCACAGCTCCAGGGCTCAGCACCCAAAACAAACGAGTGTGGAGGCTTGGAGAGCCGCTGGCAGCCCCTCTACCCCAGCTCCGAGAGGGCACATCTCCCGTGCATCCTGTCACTGGTTTGTGCCTGTCCTCTGCTCCTGCTCCACCCTGGAGGAGCACGGGGCTGGGCTGCTCACAGCTGAGACCCAAATGTCACTCCCAGTGCAAGGTTTGGGTGCCCTGCCTTGCCCCTGTGCCCCTCAGTGTGCCCAGCCCTGCACAGGGACGGGCACACGTGGGTGTCACAGGCCGTGCAGAATAATGCCATTAATGCCATCTGGTGCCCAGACAGAGCTCTGGTGTGGGAGCCAGACACGGCTTTTCACTCCCCTAATCCCCATCCCTGAGCCACGGGGGCTCTGTCTGCGGGGCTGATGGGGAGGGAAGGGCACGGCTCAGCCCTGACACGCTCAGGAGCCACAAAGGAGGGGACCCTGGGGCTCAGGGCTGTGGGACCTGGCTGAGGATGGGCTCAATTCATGCCCTGCTGGGACCTTCAGCTCCTGCTTTAGGGGCACAGAGCCCCAGCAGACTCAGTGAGGCATGGGCAGGGCAGTTCTGGTGTGGCCAGACCCTTCTGTGCTGCCCTTTCCACGGAACCTCAGGATCATTTAGTTGCAAAAACACCTCTAAGACCAATCGAGCTTAACCATTAACCATTTTCTTCCTCGGTCGAAGGACTCCTGTTCTTGCTTGAGCTGTGCAAAGCTGCAATGAGTCTTTATTAATGGGTCACTGTCAAGCCAAAATTATATTCCAAAATAATCTCCTTACTGTGATAAATAAGCACCTCAGATTAGACAAATTGCACAGATTTTGCCTAATAACCTTCCTCCAGCTAATCCTATTTTTCTGTCGATGTCTGACCTCGACCGAAGCCCACACGAGCCCAGGGGTTGGTTTCTCCATCCCATGGCTGTGCTGGGATGGTCGGGGTCACTGGAGGCAGCCCCTTGCACACCTGAACAACCGCAGCAGCCTCAGGTGAGGGGAGGGAGCGCCCTGAGCTGGGGTTTCTCATCCAAACCATTCCCTGGTCAAGCTACCCGCAGACTGCCGAGGCTGGGAGTGAGTGAGCTCCCCACTGCACCCCTCCCTGAACCCCTCCCTGAACCTTCTCTGTTTGTTTGGGGTGCCCCGAGGTCCCCTTTGGGCTGGGGACAGGGGGGACAGGCGGCCCTGTGCCCTCCTGTCACTATCCTGTCACTAGGTGTCTGTGTCGGGCCAGCTCTGCGCACAGAGGGAGCCTCCTCCTCCTCCTCTCCTCCTCCTCCTCCTCTTCCTCCTCCTCCTCACCGCCCAATTGCGGGAGACTTTCGCTCTGCTTTTTTTTTCTTTCTTTCTTTTCTATTTTTTTTTTTTTTTTTTTTTTGTTTTTTGGAAGAGGCGTTCCTGGCCGAATCCGAAGCTGAGAGAGGCTGAGCGCTCCCACAGAGCTCCGTGCTCCATCCTTGGCTGGACACCAGCTGCCCACTGAGCTGCTCCACCACTCCCCTCCCCAGCAGGGCAGGGAGGGATTAAAAAGAGGGAAAATCCCCCAAACGCGTGGGTCAAGATAACGGCGGTTTATAAGGTGAAAGCGCAAGGAAAGGGAAAAAGAAGAAACCCAGAGGGCTGAAATTCTCCACTTGCGGTCTGCAGGTGGTGCCCAGACCCTTGCCGGGAAGTCAGGATTGTTCTGTAAGGCAGAATGTAACTCACGAACACCCCCTTTCTCCTCCTTTCTCTTTTCTTCTATACCTTGAAAGGTGTCCCCTGGTCTGGAGCATCCCTTTGGTCACTTTGGGGCTGTCTTGGGTGTGTCCCCCAGTCTGAAACATCCCTTTGGTCACTTTGGGGCTGTCTTGGGTGTGTCCCCCAGTCTGAAACATCCCTTTGGTCACTTTGGGGCTGTCCTGGCCGTGTCCCCTGGTCTGGAACATCCCTTTGGTCACTTTGGGGCTGTCCTGGGTGTGTCCCCCGGTCTGGAACATCCCTTTGGTCACTTCGGGGCTGTCCTGGGTGTGTCCCCTGGTCTGGAACATCCCTTTGGTCACTTCGGGGCTGTCCCGGGCGTGTCCCCTGCCAGGACCCTGCCCAGCCCAGGACAGCGCTGCTGCCGTGGGAGCAGCAGGATCCGGGACTGGAGCTCTCCCAGCACCTTCCCATCTCCCGACACACAGCCCAGCACCGCGAGGGAGAGAATTAACCCCATCCCGGCCAGCCAGGAGCGCACAAAGAGCCCCGCAGTGCTGCCCGGGCATCCCAAGGGAAGGGCGAGCACCGCAGGATCCAGGAGCTGCAGCCGGGAGAAGAAACCCCCGGAGCGAGCCCAGGGCAGAGGCGGCTCCTGCTCCGTGCCTCGGGCTGCGGGAACCTTCCCTGGCTCTGCAGGGCAGAAAAGTGACTGGCGATGGGCCAGGAGAGTGGGCGACTCAAACGCCTCGGGCACACAGTGGAGCTTGAACTTTATTAGCCAAGGAACTCTTGCTGGGTCTAAGAGAGGGGAAGCACGAGGGTAATTTGCGTTCTGGCCTTGCGGGGTAATGGATCCACTGGAGCGGGGTGAGGGGTGGCCACTGGCCAGGGCTCCTGGGTTTCGGCTGGAGCTCTGCCTCCGTGGTGGCACTGCGGCTCTGGAAGCAGAGAGAGGGAGGGTGACATGGCCAGCGTGTCCCAGCCCCTCTCCTCCCGGGACAGACCCCCCAGGAGTCCTTCCCTAAGCACGAGCACCCCAAAGCATCGCTGCCAGCACAGGGAGCCTGGCTGCCAGCTGCAGCCTCCTACCTGCACCTACAGCTGGTCCTCGCTCCCCTGCCTGTGGAGCAAAAAGCAAAGGGAGAAGTGTTACCCTGGGCCGAACCCTGGCCCTGGCAGCTGGCAGGACTGGAACAGGCAGCAGAGATGAGGCTGCCCAGAACCGTGCAATACCCACCTCCTCTTCTTCCTCCCTCCGCAGTGGAACCGCTGGCCTGGGGGCGAGAGGAGCGACTGAGGCTGAGCCTCCCCCACCCCATCCCACCCACAGCCCACAGGCTCCTGCTCCAGCTGCCCCACGGTTGCAAGTGCTGCTGGTTTTGATGGTTTTCTCCCTAAAAAGTGGGCACATCCTTGCAGCAGCTGTGAGCGCAGCCCCCCTGCATGAAGAGGTGCTGGTACAGAGCAGGGCCACAACACCCAGGCACCCCAGGGTGCCCTGCACACTTAGCATCGGCTCTGCCTGGGAGCTGCCGAGGTTTGAGGGCTCTGGGAACTCTGGCTCCTCACTCTGGAAATGTCAGAGTTTTCTCTGCTATTTTTAATGACTGACCTACCCTCTGAAGCCCTGGTGCTGGCAGGGAAACGAAATATTTACATGGTCTCCCTCCCAGCTCGCCCTGTACTGGGAGCCTGCCGGGATGGAAAGTTCCCGGGCTGTCCCAGGGCAGGCTGTGCCCACCCCTGGTGCTGTGGGGGCAGGGTTGGTGACCCCCAGCCCCTCCCGGCCAGAGGAGGGGCTGAGTGGAGCACGGAGCAGAGCCGAGCACTGTCTGGCCCACCCAGGCACTTACTGAGGATGATGAGCCCGATCACAAAAGCCACCACGGCGAAGATCAGCCCCCCGTTACGGATTGTGTCATAGTCTGGGGAGGAGGAGAGGCAGGAGGTGTCAGGCCAGCCCCAGAGCGTGCCCCCCAGTCCCCCTGCCCGCAGCCCCGGCCTGCCGGGGGCACACACTCACCGTAGCTGAACCTGTCCTGGCCCTGCTCGGGCACTTGCTCTGCAAAGAGGAGAAACTCCAGTGGGGACTGTGTCCTCACCGTGTGGAGGTGGGACAGACCAGGGTCGAGGAGTGCAAGTGACAGTGCTGTGACTTCCCTGGCACGCAGCTGAGCCAGGAAACTCCTGGGTCTGACCCCGGGAGCTTTAAGGGCCTTGGCAAATCCACGGGATGCACTTGCAGGATGCTCGGGAGCCTTGGAGTTCCAGGTGCAGCTGCAGCAGGGACCAGCCCCACTCCCTCGGGAGATGGCACTGCCTGCAGGGCCCCAGCAGTGGCTCTGTCCCCTCAGTGCACAGGAACAACGCCTGAGGCTCACACCTCGCACCAGATGCACCCCAACAGCCCCCTCCATGCTAGCGAGCTCGTCACCGTGTCAGTCACCGTGTCACCGCTCCAGCCACCTCCCCTGCAGCACCCGCACCAGCCCAGCCTCTGCCTCGGAAGGAGGAATCACCCCGAGGAGAAGCCCAGCATCGTGTGCCACGGGGCTGTGGAGCTCTGAGCATCCAACCCCACGTCTGCCCACCCCAAATCCCCACGGAGAGCTTTCCCCGCGGCGGGAGGGAGCGGTGCTGCCCCTCGCACGGTGTCCCCACAGGGGTGGCTGTCCTTACCGTCACCCATGGCCTCGGCGTGTCCGGCGGGCGCCTCGCTCTGCGAGTGGGCACCCACGGGAAGGCGCATTAATTGGGAGACAAACCTCATTAAACATTAATGGCCTCGGTGTAATGTTTATCGCAGTCACGAGGGGAGGCACAGGGCCTTTGGGAGAGAGGGAGGGCAGGGCAGGGCAGCACCCACCGTGCCAGCCGTGGGGAGGGCTGGGCACCCCGAGCTGCGCGTCCTTGCCCCGGCCCTCCCTCCCGTTCCCATTGTCAGCCCTGCTGGGCTTCACCTCCTGCGGCGGTGACGAGCGAGGGATGGGCTCGAGTGCGGCTGCGGCTGCTTTTGGCTGGAGAGGAGCGGCAGCACGGCCGGTCCGTGGGAACCAGGGCAAGGGGAACATCCCCCTGCCTGCCCTGGGCTGCTCTGACTCCCAGGAAAACACTGAGTTTCACTCTCACTCATAGAGAAAACTTCCAAAGCCTCAAGGTAAACTAGAAACTACAAAAGTGTGAAATAGATTGTAGAGTTGATTTTTTTTTAAAGATCTAACTCTCATATGAATGAGAGTTAAATCAGTGTTTTCCTGGGAGTCAGAGCACCCCAGGGCAGGCAGGGGGATGTTCCCCTTGCCCTGGGTTCCCACAGCCTGGCAGCGAGGGTGTCCCTCGGCCGGGTCAGCACCTCCGTGCCGGCTCCGGGCCGCCCCGGGGCCGGGCAGCACCGCGATGTCCGCGGCGCATCCCCGCGGGCACCGGGATGCCGTGCCCCTCCCGGGCCATGCCAGCCCCGGGCCCGGCGTGGCCAGCTGCCAGCAGGGCTGTGCGACCCGGTTTGCTCTAATTGTCCATCAGCGAGCCGGAGTCAGGCGCACGGAGCCGATTAACGCCGGGGCGGCCGCGGGGGGAGCCGGCCCCGAGGGATGCTGCCCTTGGCAGGGCTGGCAGCGCGGACACCCGGAGCCCACGGGGGGCTGCCAAGCCCCAGGAAGGTGCTGGTGGGGCGTCCCAGCGGCTCTGCTGTCCCCGCAGCGCCAGCAGCCCGGCACCGCGGCTCCCAAAAAGCCGAGGGACAGAAGCGTCCCCCGCGCTCCTTCCCACGGGCTGAGCGGCAGAGGGGAGCAGGAGGGGCACAAAGCCCGGCTCTGCTGCTCGGGGTCTGCCCCTGCTCCCCCTGCCACTATGGGACGGCGTGGGAAGCTGCCAGGCTGCCCTGGGAACGCCACGGCCCTCGAGACAAGGCAGGCAGGCACTGATAGAAACGATATTTTATTCCTTTCCCCTTAGGTCACAGCACAGAGCACACCAGCCCTCCAGCACAGCAGCACACTCGCCTATTTAAAAGGAGACACAATAGCTCAGTTTATTTTACAACAGTCAGGGTTTGGCCATTTTACACACCACAGGGAGCTCTTTGTTTCGTGGTAACACCGAGGGCACACCAGGGACAGCACCGGGACACACACCGGGACACTCGGGGGCCGGGCCGGGGGGCTGCTCTGCCCGGGAGCTCTCTGCAACAGCCAGGACAGAGGGAAGGGACAAAACACGAGAGACACGGCCCCTCTGCCTGGCACAGATGGGACAGAGCTTCCCGGTGCCACCGAGTGATGCCAAGCATGCAGGGACACAGACCAGGCTGGAGGCAGGGCCACCGCAGTGGGGTGGACATGGCAGAAACTCCTCTCAAACCATCCTGGGGGACAAGACCCCCTTCCCGGTGTGGGGATGGCACCCTGAGGTGCTCCAGTGAACCCCACTGCTGCCACCACCCAAGCTGGCAGTCCCCAGCCCCAGCAAGGTTTTACCTGCCCATGGATTTGGGGAAGAGCCAAAAATCACAGGTTTGCCTCTGACCCATGAGAGGACACCGGGTGACAATGAGCTCTGGGCTCAGCACGTTGTCACAGTGCAAGCTCAGGTGTGCAAAGCCCCGAGAATCACTCAGTGCCACTCGCTGCTGCTCCACGGGGAGAGGGGACAGCTGGCACCGGGGGTGACACAGACCCACCAGGGGACAACACAGCACTGACACGGGTGGCACAGGGAGTGACAAGGCAGAGAGCAGCAGGAGGAGACGCCGCTGCCCCTTCCATGCCAGAGACAAGCACAGAGAGGATCTCTGCTTCTCTTCAGCCCTCAGATGTGCTGCCCACCCAGCTCTGGCTCGTGGCAGGAGCTGGTTGGTGCTGGTCACTGAGGTCACTGCCGTGCTGCTGCCCTCACCCACCGTGCCACCGTGCTGGGGACCTCACGGGCTCCTCTGCCACCACGGCCCTGCCTCATGCTTAAAGCAGTGTCCCACAGGTTGAACAGGGACAGAAACGGGCAGTGCCAAGCAGGAGAGGCAGGAGAGCTCCCCTCAGCCTTGAGTCCAGCACCCCAGTGACCCCAGCGAGGAGGCTGAGCCGTGGGGTGTCCCTGCCCGACTCGCCCCCCACCATGGCTGTTTTTAGGCTGGGGCATGCGGGGGGTTATTGCTGAAATGGGGACGGTGGCCCTGAAATGGCTGTGCAGGTCCCCAGGGCGCTGCAGGTCCCCAGGCCCTGCCCAAAGCCAGGGGGGCTGTGCTGCTGGCACTGGGCAGGGAATGGGGGTCCCTGACCCACAGCCCACACTCCCGGCTGCGAGGGCACCCCCAAGGGCAGCAGCCTGCCAGTCCTACAGAGCCCAAATCACACGCACAGCACGAGAAGGATGAGGAGAAAGTCACGATTACAACATCAGCAACAACTAGCCCTAGAGGTAATGATATCTCACAGCAACGTTACACACCACGGGAGGCAGAGAGGACAGCAGAGTTTAGTCGGGTTAGGAACAGAGAACCGGTGCTGGAGCACAGAGGGGGACACGGACACGGCGTCTCCTGAGAGGGACCAGCTGCTGGGGTTTCGGGTTCCTCGCGGGCATCTGCGCTCCGGGTGTCCCTCCTGGGGTCTCTGGCTCTGTGTGGGGAGCAGGAGGTGGTCAGGCTTTCCCCAGCAGCACAAACTGCCCGCACGGGCTCCAGCCTTCCCCCTCTCTGACACAGGCACAGCCCCGGAGGTTGGGGAGCTCAGAGTGAGACACCCCGAGGAGTTCACACCCAGATTTCTGAACACCCTAAAACCAAAACCACTCAGGGGTGGGGGAGCACCAGAAAGGGAAGTGTAACACAAGGGAAAATCCGGACAGATGCTTCCTCTTCCTGCCTGAGGACACTCAGGACCTTGCCAGCGCTGAGTTTCCTTGCTGGACACCACTGGTGCTTGCCCCCAGCCCATCCCAAGGATGCAGAGCTGCTCAGCGCCCCACAGGCAGCCCCACAGGCAGCCCCACACCTGCCCAACACCAGCCCCACAGTCAGCCCCACACCAGCCCCACAGTCAGCCCCACAGTCAGCCCCACAGTCAGTCCCACACCAGCCCCACAGTCAGCCCCACAGGCAGCCCCACAGGCAGCCCCATACCTGCCCCACACCAGCCCCACGCCAGCCCCACGCCAGCCCCACAGTCAGCCCCAAACCAGCCCCACAGGCAACCCCACACCAGCCCTGCATTCAGCTCCGCAGTCAGCCCCACACCAGCCCCACAGTCAGCCCCACACCAGCCCCACACCAGCCCCACACCAGCCCCGCAGTCAGTCCTGCAGTCAGCCCCACAGTCAGCCCCACACCAGCCCCACACCAACCCCACACCAGCCCCACACCAGCCCCGCACCAGCCCCACACCAGCCCCACACCAGCCCCACACCAGCCCCACAGGCAGCCCCACACCAGCCCCACACCAGCCCCACACCAGCCCCAGCTGTCCCTCCGTCCTGACACCCCCACCCAGCCCAGCCTGGACTCACGGCGTTGGCTCCTGCTCAGTTCTCTGCCTTCTGCGCCGCTGTCGCTGCAAAGGGAAGAGCAGAGGGGTTTGTGGCGCCTGCCCAGCAGGGCTGTGACACGGGGCACGGTGGCACAGTGACCCCAGCACTGTCACCTTACCGTTGGAGGTGATCAGGTTCTCTGCCTGAGCCTCCTCGTCCCCTGGAGCCCTGCAGGGAGAGGAGCACGGTGAGGGCAGCCGGGATCGGCTGGGGTGGCCGGGAAGGGGCACGGGGGGCAGGCACAGCTGCTCCCCCAGATTTGGGCACCCCAGAGGGACACCCAGAGAGTGCAGCCCCTCTGCCAGCTGTGAGAAGGAGCCACCTTTCCCTTTCCAAGGGAAGCACCAGGCTGCTGTCACTCACCTGGGCTTCTGCTTGAAACTGCACCTGCACCTCCTGCCTGCGAGGGGAGAGAAGCATTCCAAGGACAATGGGATGAGTTCCCAGCACGGGAACAGCCCCTCTGCCCCAGCCTGCCAGCCCAGCACCCACCAGCTCCCCAGCTTACTGAGGATGAGGAGAATGCCCACGGTGAACAGCACCACGGCGAACACCAGCCCCCCGATCCTCAGGCTCTGGTAATCTGGGAGGGGGACACACAGGGCTCGTTCCTGCTGGCCTCAGGGAGGGGAGGGCTCTTTGCTGCCCGTGGCACACCCACACCCACCCCTCACGCTCAGCCAGACCCACTCACCATAGTTAAAGGGATCCTCCTCCTCCTTCTGCGGGGCGGCCACTGGAAGGGAGCAGACAAGGGGGTGTGTGAGCTGAGCGAGCCCCTGGCGGGGCCCTGCAGCTCCCCACAAGCTCTGGGGCTCTGGGCTCTCGTGGCTGCTGCCCCCCTGGATGGGTGTGGGGGCTGTTCCCGGGTGTGTGGGGGCAGCACGGGCACCTACCGTCTGCCACGGCCGCGGGCACCAGCAGGGAGCACAGGAAGATGAGCGCTGCCTCCATGGCTGCTGTGAGAGAGGGGAGAAGAGGGTGTCAGCACCCAGATACCCCAGGGGGGCACTGGGACAAGGCCAGGGAGCACGGGGGAGCTGCAGACAACCTGTGTGGGCAGGCAGGGCCGGCCCATGCCATGGGAAGAGCCAGGCTGGTCCTAGGAAACACCCAGGGTGCGTGGTGCCATGGCTGCACCCAGCCCAGCAGTTCAAAGGCAGGAAGGGAAGGGTTTCAGCAGCCAGACAGACTTTTTTTGTGGGGTTCTGTGATGTATTTTTGACCATCTCTCACTTGGCATAAAACGCAGTGCGGTCTCAAGTTTGCTCTGCAGGCAATGGGGCCAAAACCTCAAAATGCCACCCTGTGCACCTCTGGCAGCACTGTCCAAATACTGCTGGAGCTTTGGCAGCCTCTGGGGCTGTGCCCATTCCCTGGGGAGCCTGGGCAGTGCCAGCACCCTCTGAGGGAAGAGCCTTTTCCTAATATTCAACCTAAACCTCCACAGAGACACAGAAAAGAAAAAGAAAAAAAAAGAGGCTGGATTTACAGTTACCCTAGTTTGCTAAAACACTCAAGCCTAAATCCCGCTGTCTTTGGGAGAAGCTGACATAACTTAACCAGTTTGCTGAATATTTCCAGCCTCCTAAACTGGGACAGACTCCATTCACACTTGGGATTATTTTTTTAATGTGGTACGTTTCAATTAAAAACTTTCCCAAGAAGATTTAAGAGACACCACGGAAGAAGAGGCAAGAGGAACAATTTTAGTTCGCTCTTTCCACATCTGCTCTTAAAACTTCATCGGTTTTGAGCATCCCAGGGCTCCTCTCAGCACGGCTCGGCCCGGACCGGCCGTCAGCCCCCGATCCGGCCCCTGGTGATGATTTGTCCCAATTAGCGCAGCAATTACAGCCCCGCAATGAGGCCAGTGGCCCTGGTGGGACTGAGCTCAAAGACAGGCTTGCCCTGCGGGCTCCCTGCGGCAGCAAGGAGAGAACATAAATCATAAATAATCTCGGTGTCCCTCCCGGCGGACCGGGCTCTGGTGCTCCTGCCAGCCCGGACCGCGTCCCCAGCTGCATTTGGGATGGGCACCTTCGCTGTGCTCTGCCAAGGGAGGGGCATCGCTACTTTATAAATGAAAATTTGTCCGGCCAAATTCATATGAAAAAATGAAATATTTATTTTGCAATCAAATTCTAGCTAGCCAGCCCCAAGGAAAGAACAGAGCCGAGCCCGGGGTCGGCCCTGGGTGTGCAACAAGGAGTCAGCCTCAGCAGAGGTTTCCTCCATGCCCACACACCTCCAGCCTGGCACAAGGGGTTTTTATAGGGAAAATTCCGCCTGAGGCCAAGATTTCAGCAGTCAGTCTTTTCTTCTATTCAGAGTCCATGTGTTAATAAGATTTTCCTTTTTGGTGATGAGGGAGAACAAATCAGTGTCTGGAGTTTGTTGAATCCTTGATGAAATTTACGGGAATTTGGGAATGCTGGATTCATATGGATCTGCCTGAGGATTTCCATGATTTCCATCTCAGGTCGTTCAAGGATGATCAGCACCTGGGGTTTCTGTATCTCCCCAGCCATGGCCCATCTCCTGGTGTCCCCAAATCCCACCAGACATGGCCCATCTCCTGGTGTCCCCAAATCCCACCACACATGGCCCATCTCCTGGTGTCCCCAAATCCCACCACACATGGCCCATCTCCTGGTGTCCCCAAATCCCACCACACATGGCCCATCTCCTGGTGTCCCCAGATCCCACCACACATGGCCCATCTCCTGGTGTCCCCAAATCCCACCACACATGGCCCATCTCCTGGTGTCCCCAAATCCCACCACACATGGCCCATCTCCTGGTGCCCCCAAATCCCACCACACATGGCCCATCTCCTGGCCAGCCGGACCTTCTTACTTGTAAATCAGTTTCCAACATACACCCGGTCTCGCCTGCGAGGGTGTGGGGGAATCTTAACACAAACGTGCATACTCCAACAAATATTCAATATCACATATATCATATTAGAAATGGCGCCAGTTATATCTACTACACATAACACCGCCCACAGCCTGCTGCCAGCATCCCTTCTCCAGCTCCAGGGGACAGGGGGAGCTGCTCCCTGTCCTGCCAGCTGGCACGGGGCACTGCGGACCCGCTGGTGTGCTGGGGATACCTCGTGCCAGGAGGAGAGGGCTCGGCTGCCCCAGGCGGGCTGGTGGCAGGCTGGCAGCTCCTCCGTGTGCCCGCGGCTGCCCCGGGCTCTGCTGCCGCTCTCAGCGGTGCCAGGCGGTCACCCCGTGCCCCGGCGCTGGGCTGGGTGGCCATACATGGTCGGGAGCACGGGGAGGGCTGGCTGCTGGCTCGGCACTCCAGGGAGGTTATCGGGACCCTGAGTGCCACAGAGCTGCTGCAGCTGCCGCGCTGGATCGGTGCCGATAAGGAAGGGGCCCTCGACAGAGCAGGAATTCATCCTGCTGAGCATCCAGAGCCTGACCTGATCCCGCTGCAGCCTCCAGCCCAGCTGCCCGGGGACACCGAGGTCCCCCAAACCCTGCCACGGCCCCTTTCCCCGTCTGTGCCCCTCGCTGCCAGGCCTGGCACGGAGCAATGCCCACCAGAGCTGGCCCCAGCAGCGCTGGGCACCTCCGCCTCTCCCAGTGCTGCCCTTGGGAGCCAATTCCATTGCACCCACCGACACCCCCAGCACCCGCCTCGTCCATCACAACCAGCGGCATCCCAGGAGAGCTCCCATCCCTCCCTCCCTCCCTCCCTCCCTCCATTCCGAAGGAGATGTGTTTACCGAGCATCGCAGGGTTTCATCCCGCCCTGCTGCAGCTGCTGGGCCATTGTGCAGGCGGGGCTGCACCCAGACAAACCCCCTCGCTTGCTGAAATGCAGATTTTGGGGTAATTACCAGCGCTTAGAAACACACACAAAGAACCCACAGCTGGTGACTCAGTCACTTCGAGCTGCACATGTCCTTTCCCTCACGTTCTTTGTCTCTTCAGAAATCAGTCACTTTGCCCCTGCGAGGGCTCTGTGTGTGCACAGGGGCTCTGACCCAGCTCAGGGGCTCGTGCACTGATCAATATCATTTGGCTCCCGTATTTCTCAAACAAATCATTCATCAGATTTTTGCTGTTCTGCTCTTTTCCAGCCACTGGATCATTCCCTGAAGAACACACTCAGGGAATTTTGCATTATTCCCTGCCCCGAGCCCTCCACATGGGCCCTGTTCAGCCACACTCACACCCTCCAAGCCTTTGCTCAGCATTTGGCTTCTCGCACGCAGCGCGGCAGAGTTCGCTGCTGGGCCGAGCCAAGCACGCAGCACACATATGTTCTTTGTTTTTCTATCTCAGTTCCTAGAATTCACACACTTGGGCGCGCTCAGACTTATCTCCGCACGAGCGAACCGCCAGGATTGGCGGTGTCCCTGCTCCAAAGGCAAACACGGCGCTCTGCCGTGCAAACCAGCCCAGCTCTCCTCCAAGGAAGCATATGCCTCGCAAAGAGCCACAGGTTTTTTGGGTTGCTCCAAGCTGGCCCACCCACTTCTTCCTGAAGCTGAAATAAAGTGAGAAGAGCGAGCGGCGCCGAGGGTTTGCCGCTCTCCCCGCTCCTGCCTTCCCTCATGCTGAACCCAGCTGCGCCTTGGCACAGGAAAGGAGAGGAAAACAGCAGCTGCCACATCCCACAGCCCAAATCTTTCCTTGTTTTCTTCCCATTGGTGAGACAAAGTTTGGAATCACCACCCTGGACAGCACAGGCAGTGGCAGTGCCTGACTTAACCAAAACATGGGGGTTTCCTGTTAAAACTGCGAGATCCGGTGAGACACGGAGAGAGGCGGAGCAGCGCAGGAGCCGAGCTGCAGCGTCCAGAACTCTCCTTCCCTCTCATCCCAGCTCACCCTGCTGCTTTCTGAGGGAAACCAGGCGCCTTCCCCCCATCGCCATGCCCATGGAAGAGCCGGTGGCAGGAGGGGGCAGCAGGAATTTGTGAGGCTCGGGGGGAAGGGAGCAGCAGAGTGAGGAAGTACAGGGAGTTCTCTGTTCTCTGGGAGGACGTGGAGGAGAGTGGGCTGGGGGGTTAACCCAGTGCTGCCAGAGGCAGCCAGGGCTGGACCTGCCCATGGTGAGGCTCAGTGACACCGGCAAGGCAGGGTGGCAGCGCAGGGTGACACCCTGGCACCAGGAGCTGCGATCCACCCATGCCCACGCGAGCCGGCTGGATGATTCAGAGCCCTGCCACGCGTGCAGCCACCACTCCCTCCACAGCCACAGCTCCTCCTCAGCCTCTTCCTCCTGGATAATCCCTCCTTGCCCGTTCCCGCTGGCTCGGTGTGTGTGCGCATGGAGCCCGGGCGAGGCAGAGCAGAGGGCAAACCCGGGCAGACAGACCCGGTCTCTCCTGCCTGGCTCAGCTCTCTGCAGCACGGCAAATCCTGCCAGAGCAAGGCAGGTGAATTTGTAGTGCCCTTGGATCTCCAAGTCCCCTTTTCCTTTTCATTGTTTTGCATAGCTCTGCCCTGTCAAGTCTCAGCCGTCACAGAGCAATTCCAGCAGCCTCCGCCTTCCGTCAGGAGTCCTCAGGGCATCTCCCGAAGATCAGACCTAGTTAAAATCTCTGGTTTCTGTGCAAAGCCCCCCAGACCGTGACAGCAGCGCTCCGTTGCCCGGGGCGTCTAAGAGCGTGCATGTGTGAATGGACATTTCCAGCTCTGCATAGATGTGCTCTTCTGCCATTTCACGTCAGCATCAATCTGGCCATTAATGTGCTGCTGTTGTGCCTCGTGCTTCTAAATGAGGGAGGAGAGGAGATTTCCAGCCCTCCATTCTGGTGTGGACGGCCCTTCCCAAATCCGGTGCTGATTCAGAGGCTGGCTGGGTGGGAGACACGCTTTGCTGCAGTCTAATTGTCTTTTTTGCTGGTTCGGGGTTTCTCTGAGTGCTCCTTCCCTCACCTGCACCCAGAACTCCACTTGCCTCCTGGAGGGCTTCTTCCAGCCTCATGGAACTGACCCTGAGCCATTGAGGAGCCCCAGCCAAGACTGCCTGGCTGTGTGTGGCTCACCACAGTCCCCCCAGCCCCACAGTGACACCCCAATGAGGCAGCGAGGCCAATCCTTCACTGGGGCAAACCTCCAGTGCTAAAACCTGCTGAGCTTAGGGCTGCCTGGCCAGGGAGCCCAGCCTGGTCTCCAGCAGGCAGAAAACATCACCACCACCTCCCACAGGAGTCTGCAGCTCCTGATCCCTCCTTATTTGATTAACAGATAACCAAGGGCTGTAAACCTGACTGTGCACCTGCCTGGACCCACCACACCCTCGCTTAGCCACACACCAGCTGAATGAGCCCGGCTCTGCAGGGCCATGGGCCACGAGAATCCCACAGGTGAGACAAAGGAGAGGTTCCCTGGAGGATCCCGGTGGTGAGGGTACCCCAAACCATCAGAACAGCCTGGCAGAGCAGCGTGCAAGGAGCTGTTTGAGGCTCCTGAGTGTGCTGGTACCACAGCAGTGCCACGCTCCGCAGCACATCAGAGCGGACATTTTCTCCCTTCTCTCCTCTGCTGTCACCATCAGCCACAACCATGGTGAGCACAAGGCAGACAGCAGTGCCCAGCAGCACGGCTGCTGTCCCCACAGCACTGCCCCAGGCACAGAGTGATGGGCAGGTGGGGCAGGACAGGACAGGACAGGACAGGACACCTCCGTGCTGCCAGTGCCTTCTCCATGCTCAGGGACACAGCAGCTGCAGAGCTCAGCAGCCTCTTTACCCCTTGCAAACACACCAACAGCCTGAAAGGCAAACACGGGCAGCAGCTGGACACAGAGCTGCTGGTTTGCTGTGCCAGGGAGTGCCCTCCACACCTGGCAGAGCCGTGGCTCCCCATCAGGTTTTACCTGAGTGGGTAGGTTGAGACAAAGCAGATAAAATTTCCAGGAGAGTGTGAGCCATGAGGCTGATGGGAGGAAGGTGTAGGCAGGCTCACACCTTGCAGGCACAGGATATCCTCCAGCAGGTTCCAAACACGCTCTAACAGGTGGCCTGGCTCGGCAGCCATGGCATTTCGTGCTGGCAGCTCTCCACTTCACTCTGCCCAGGAACCATGCTCCAGTTGTGCATGGGCAGGGATTCTCCGGGTTTGTCTTTGTTCCAAACTGGGAGCAAAACCGCCCAGCGGGGCTGAAAATCCCAACAGGACCCAGCAGCATCTCAGAGTGCTGCGGGCTTGCCAAAATGGGTGCTCCGTTCTAATCCACACACGGCTTCCCCCGAGAGGCTGCTCCTTCACGCTGCTTATTCACATCCACACAAACCACCTGTCACTTTCCCTCCCACAGGAATATCCCTGCGAGATCCAAGTTCCACCACATGGACTCCAAAATCCGTTTCTTTGGAAGCATTAATTACACACCCTGAGAGACACGCTCTTCCCTTCCTCCGTACGCCTTCCCGGGATGAGCTCTTGGCTGTTTACGCACGGTGTTACTACAGCACGGAGCAACGGGAGCCAGAGCGCTGCCAAGGGCTGCGAGAGCGGGATCTCCCCGTTCCACGGGATCTCCCCGCTCCCCGGGATCCCCCCATGCTCCGGGATCCCCCGTTCCCCGGGATCCCCCCATGCTCCGGGATCCCCCCATGCTCCGGGATCCCCCCAGCTCTGCCAGCCTGCGGAGCACCGTCCGCGGTGGTCTCGGGTGGGCTCCGCCGGGGCATCCTCCCCGGCCCGGGGGGCTGGTAACCAGGCAACGGTGGGATCCGGGAAAGCGCGGTACCCGGCGTTGCCATGGCAGCCGCCGGGGCCGGGATGCGGGCGGGCCGGGGCGAGGGGCGATGCCCCGGGGCAGCAGCGGGGCGGGGTCGCGGCCGCCTCCCCGGTGGGAGCGGGCCGGGGCTCGGGACCGCACCCCGGGACCGGGACACGCACCACGCTGCCGGGCGGACCCCGACCCCCCCGAGCCCCCCGAGCCCCCCCAACCCCCCGTTCCCTCCCCTCCTCCTCCCTCCCCAGCGGCCCCCGAGGTCCCCGGTGGGTCGGACCCACCTGAGGTGTCCGGGCAGAGCCGGGCAGAGCCGGGCAGCCCCCGCGGCTCCGGGGAGCGGAGCGGAGCACGGAGCGGGCAGAGCCGCACAAAGCGGAGCGGAGCGGGCGGGGCGGGGGCGGCGCTGCGGGCGGGGGGCGCGGGCAGCGGCGGGGGCGCGGCCAGCACGGCCCGGCCCCCGGCGGCTCCCAGATCCCCCCAGAGGAAGGCACGGGGATGCTCCGGGGGATGGAGTCCCTCTGCTCCGCACCCCGCTGGGGGTGCGCAGCCTGCAAAGAGAGGTTCCAGGGAGAGCTCAGAGCCCTTTCAGGGCCTAAAGGGGCTCCGGGAGAGCTGGAGACGGACTTTGGACAAGGGATGGATTGGAGAGACAAGAGGGAATGGCTTCCTCTGCCAGAGGACAGGGTTAAATGGGATTTGGGTAAGAAATTCTTCCCTATGTGGGCGGTGAGGCTTTGGCACAGAGTGCCCAGAGAAGCTGTGCCTGCCCTGTCCCTGAAAGTATCTGAGGCCAAGTTGGATGGGGCTTGGAGCAACCTGGAATAGTGGAAGATGTGTCAGGGATTTGGAACTTGGTGGCCTTGAAGATCCCTTCCAACCCGAACCATTCTGGGTTCTACAACATTCACGGAGCCTGCAGGGTGCAGGTGCGGAGGGGAAACGCTCTCCTGGCTGTGAAACATCCCTTCCACAGCACAGCAGGCCTGGACTCTGCCCTGAGCTGTGCTCCGGGTGTGGGGGGAGCCAGGAACAGGCTGGGAGCTCGGAAAACACACATAGATGGATTTCATCAGGGCACAGAGCCCCTGCTGTCCTGCTGCCTCCTGAGAGCTGGGGAAGGGGCTGCCAGGCTGCCAGGCCAGCTGGCACAGCTCACAGGGCTTCAGTCACGTCACTCAGCCAATCTCAGGGTCCACCCAGGTCAGGGTGGGCAGCAGGGCCACTTCCAGCCTGGCCTGGCTCCGTTTCAGGCACACCCAGGACCTGGTACCTGCATTGCCTGCCCTGAGCCCAGCAGCATCTGGCAGCTGCACAAAACCAGACCCAGGAGCCAGGGCAGGCTTCAGGCAGCCAGGGCAAACGTGCTGTGACAGAAGGGCTGGACAAAAAGCCCTGTGAGAAGCTCTGAAAGCTCTGTCACAGAGCTTTGGGCAAGCCCCAGTTCTTCCCATCACACAGCCAGGCATGTTGGGAGGAGCGAGATGGGCAGGGAGCTCCTTGCTCAGTGCGGGGTGCCAGATGGGAACAGGGGGCTGGGGGCACTGCCAGGCAGTAGCTGAGAGCCATGGGCACCACCCTGTCCCAGGCCAGGCTGGCACATCTCTGTCTGCCTGGCTGCTGCCCTGGAGAGCCATTTCTTCTTGGAAAAACACCTCAGCAATGCTGTCAGCCCTGAGATGGCTCATCCCCTGCTAACTCCAACGCAGCTGAGATAGAAATCAGGCAGTGACGGCGCCGTTCCAGAGCCATCTCCCCGCTTCCAGTAAAACATAAAGAGAAAATAAACCAGCACTGGCATTTCAAGGCAATTATTCAAAGGGTCAAGAGATACAGACACAGAGGAGCTGGAAAACATCAAGTCCCTCTAATGCATAAGGATAACAGGATAAGGCTTTTAGTTACCCTGCAGAGAGTGAGGCCGGGATCAAGCTATTGTAATCAAGTTTTGGGCTTCTCTGACCTTATCTGCTTCTCAGCCGTCATTATCCACAGCCCACAGTAAAAGATGCAGGTGTGACCATACCCTGGGGGCTGCAGTGAGCACGGTGGGGCTCTGCAGAGCCCTAAGCACAGATGTCCCATGCAGCAGCAGCCAGGACACAGCTGGATCTGCACTCCCTCCCTTGGTTCTTTATTTACAAATTCCCAAGGAGCTGCCCAGAGTGAGTAGAATAATAATAAAAAAAAATTATCAGCAATTTTATTTTCCTGTACAAACTCAAGAAAAATAGAGATACCAATGTGAATGTGGGAAGGGAAGAGGAAAAGCAGCTCCAGGAGTCGCTCATGGTAAACATCTGCTCCCCAGAGCTGGGCTGCTGGAGAGGCTGTGCCGAGCTCCAGCTTCTCTTCTGGAGAAACTGGGCCAAAAGTGATGCAGAGGCCAGGCAGGAGAGGCTGATTTATGTTAACAAGGGGGCCGGGCTGGTCTCGGCTGGTCTGAGAGAACAGGAGCGCTGCCACCAGCTCCAGCAGGGCACGATTTCATCTGAGCCGGTGCCCCTGACCCTGGAGCAGGCGTCTCCTCCCCTGGGCCTGGGGCAGGGACAGAGCCACTTGCTCTCCAGGACTTTCCCCTCCAGTTTTAAGATCTCTCCCGTAATTCCAAACTCGGAAATTTCCTGTTCAGTGGCAACGCCGCCCTTGGCCCCGTTTGGGGCACGGGAGAGCGGAACGGTGACAAAGCTGTGTGCAGCCACAGGGCTGTTTACCCCAATAACAGCATTTCCAGCAGGCCCGGTGGTTCCTGTGCCCTGAATCCCTGCAGGAGCGGGGACCCAGCACGGGCTGCTCTGGAGCTCCTGCGCTGCCCCACGAGCACAGCTCCAGCTGAAGCCCCTCCGTGCCAAGTGAGGATGTTACTGACCAGGGAAGGGAGCCAATCCCCAGCTAGAGGAAAAGCATTTTTGCAGAGAAACATCATCGCTGAAACCCTATAAACAAACGTGTTTTGACACAGCAGAACAAAGAGCTATAAAAGGAGAGATCGGGAATACCGCGGCTAATGGGCGGTAATTCGTGTGGTGCCCACAAGGCTGTATTTCTGTAATTTGTGTCCCTTTGGGATGCTGGCCTACGATCTCCAGAGCTCAGAGGAACTTGGGAAGAGCCCAGCAGATGTGGGGCGATGCTCGGCACCCCTTGGCTCGGAAGATGCTCTGGAGCAGGACACTGAGCAAGCAAAGGGCTTTGCAAGAGCCACAGGTGATGGCCGTGCTGTCCCAGGAGCTCCTCGGGGCTGGGCTGGCACCCACCACAACTCTGCTCCCCCAGAAGCGGTGCCCAAGGCGTCTGCTTCGTCTGCACAGCCTTTGGGAACAGCACGACAGCCGTGGCCAGGCTTCACGGGAAAATAATCGCTCCTAATCTGCTTAGAAAACTTCATCCCTCGGGAAAACGCAGCATACCTGCCTGTGGGCCTGGGGGGACACACTGCTGGATGGCTGGTTTAGAAGAAATAAATTAAATTTGTATTAGGGGCTGAAAGCATTTCTCTGCTGTCAGAGACTTTCAAAAGAGCAATAACCCCTGAGGAGGAGAAATCCACAGCAGAGGGGAAGGTCCCACACGTGCTGAAATTTTACCATTACTGGTCCCAGGAACACAGCTCCAGCAAGGTCAGCTCTTACTGGGTTCAAACTTGTGGGTTATTCCTTGGCAAGCAGCTGAAAACAGCTGTGATTTTGAGTTTGAGCCATGGAATGAGTTACCAACTTTGAAAGTGGAACAAGCGGTCACAAAGGGTTAGATGGTATAGTAGAAGTAATTACAAATTAGAGGGGAAAATTTTTTAGTGTTGTGCAGGGGGGTTTTAACACCTGTACAGGGGGGTTTTACTTTGTACATGGGGGTCAGAAGTTCTAAGATGGAGGAAAGTGGGCCTGATCCTGTTCTTCCTCCTCCTTCTTCCTTACCTCCATGTTCTTGGTGATCCTGGCACTCATGGATTGGTTTAGAGTAGAAAAGCACATTGTAACATAGGTAGTAGGTATTGGGGAAAAACTGTAAACATATAACATGTAATATATCATATAAAAGATAGCAGCAGCCCTGGGCAGGGAGAGAGAAGAAGACACCAGGCACTGAGGGTGTCAGGGGTGTGTGGCTGCTGACCACTCCATCACAAGCCCCCTGTGCCTGCTGCCCAGGGATCCTTGGCACGCCGCTGCTTCCTTTCCAGCCCATCCCAAAGAGCCATCTCCACGTGGGACACTACCAAAACATTTATTAGAAGAGTGCAGGGTGGCCAGGCTCCACAGGACCCCCCTGCAGCCTACCACAGGGCTGGGGAGGGGAGCAGGCAGGCTCTGCTCACGCTGGGGATCTCCTAGCGTGCCCCAGCATCCAGCAGGAGATGAAGGCGCTTGTTTCCTCAAGGGAAATGTCCCTGCTGGGGCGCGGGCAGGGAGGACAGGCTGGCTGTGCCATCTCTGCAGGCAGGAGGCAGCACTTGGGCACTGCAGGGAGATGCAGGGCTGGCTCACTCTGGGCACTGCCCGTGAGGCTGATTGCTCCGAGCCACGCTCCAGTGTGGCCTTTGGCTGCTGCTGGTGCTGTCACAGCTCCCACAGCCACCCACGGGGCGCAGACTGCCCCATGCCACCGGCCCAGAAAGGAGCCACGGCATGGAAAAACAAACCAACGGGCATTTCTCTCGCAGGCAGGGACGTCTCGTAAAAGGCACTTCCTAAATCTCTGTGCAAACACGCCAGCGGCGGCCGCCCCTCCCAGAGGGAGGAAAATCCGCAGCTCGGGGCTCCCCTTGGCAGCAGAGCCGCCAGCGTGGCCCTGGAGGTGTGGCAGTGCGGACACAACAGCCACATCCTGCGCCCTAAGGTGGCACAGCTGTGACCTGGATAAAGGGAGAGCTCCCGCTCCACGGGCGCTGCTGGCAGCCCCGCGCCCGCTGAGTGTGCCACGGCCCTGCCAGGAAGCACTGGCACACCCTGTCCAGACAGGAATATTTACAGGAGAGCCACAGACACGGGGCAAGGAGGTGTCCCCCAGCCAGCACGGCCAGTCGCTGGCATGGGCTGTGACCCCCAGGCCGGGCTGGGTGCTGTGCCCACCATGCCACCCCTGGCACCAGCCGAGGGCAGGGTCACTTTGCAGGTGCTGTTTCCAGAGTTCGGGGGCAGCCACGGGTCTCTGGCTGCACGGACAGTCCAGAGAGGTGGGGACTTGCTGGTGGCATCGTGCCCTGGCAGCAGCTTGGGGCAGCAGCCCGTGCCAGCCAGAGGGGCACAGCTCGGGCGAGTGTCCATCCTGCCCTTAGTCGTTCTCGCTCTGCGAGGGACAGAGAGAGGAGCAGGGTGAGGTGCCAGGGGCTGGGCTGGGGTACAGCCCTCTGCAGGGCCGCCCTGCCCAGGCACAGCCCTGCCACC